CCCCAGAACCCAGACCCTCCCTCCCCAGAACCCAGACCCTCCATCCCCCAGAACCTGGCCCTCCCTCCCCTAGAACCCAGACCCTCTTTCCCCTAGAATCCCGGCCCTCCCTCCCCTAGAACCCAGACCCTCCCTCCCCCAGAACCCAGATCTCTCCTAGAACCTAGATCTTCCCTCCCCTAGTACCCATGCCCTCCCTCCCCTAGAACCTAGACCTTCTCTCTCCTAGAACCCAGGACCTCTCTCCCCTAAAACCCAGGCTCTCCCTCCCCCAGAACCCAGACCCTCCCTCCCCAGAACCCAGACCCTCCCTCCCCAGAACCTGGCCCTCCCTCCCCTAGAACCCAGACCCTCCCTCCCCCAGAACCCAGACCCTCCCTCCCTAGAACCCAGATCTCTCCTAGAACCTAGATCCCTCTCCCCTAGTACCCAGGCCCTCCCTCCCCTAGAACCTAGACCTTCCCTCTTCTAGAACCCAGCCCTCTCTCCCCGTGTACTCAGGAACTCTCCTAGAACCCAGGCTCTCCCCTAGAACCCAGGCCCCCCTAGATCCCAGACCCTCCCCAAGAACCCCAGCCCTCCCCTAGAAAGCAGGAAACAGGAAGAGCCAGAGGCAGTGCTCACTCTGAGGAGGACAGGAGAGGACAGAAAAATGCTTCTAGGGGACAGGACTCCAAGGCCCCACCCTGGGGTGAAGTGAGCAGAGACAAACCCTGAGAAAAGCTAGCACAGGGTGTGGTGCCCAGACCAGCCGCCCAATGAGAGAACAAAGCAGCCCAACTCAAAAACCCGGGTCCCAGGCTGCGGGGGGGGGGGAGCAGAGGGCACTAGGGGACCCTGCCACTCCCCTGCCACTCTAAGGCCTGCCAGTGCCGGAAAAAAAGGCAAGAAAACATGTTCTCCCTGTCCCTGTCAGACCAAATAACCTACACAGATGGACTCCCAGTGCTGACCTGAGGACGTTGGAAAGGTGCTCACGTGAACAACTGGGGCGAGCAGAGCCTCCAGACAGAAATGCCAGGAGCAGCCATGGGGCGCTCTCTATGGGCCAAGCAAGCTCACGGCAGAGCCCGAAGATGGCCCACGGCATTCCCCACGGGGAAAAAAGAGGGAAAACAGAACATTCAAGAGCCAAACACCTGATGTTCTAGTATGGAAACCTCAAAAGCAGAAAGAATGAGGCAAAAAACATTTGAAGAGATAAGGAATAAGAATTTCTCCAAATAAGAGCACCAAACCACAGACCTAAGACTGTCAGAGAATTAAAAATAAATTCCTAGACTCATCATATCCACTCAAAGCACCGAGAAAAAAAAAAAAAACAGAGGTAGAGAGAAAATATTTGCATGCAAAGGTAAGAGTCAAGAGTTATAGCCAAGAAGCAACCACAGCTAGGCACGTGGGGGGAGATGCAAGGAGGGACTGGGAGAGGTGAGGAGGGACAGGAGAAGGCAAAGGTTTTAGAACATCAGACATCGGGGCATCACGGGAAGGGAAGAGCAGAGCAGCACACTAGACAACAGAGCCAAGGCCTACCCAGAGCAAGAGCTCATCTGCTGCATTCACACCTGCACAAGCCTGGCCAGCAGTGAGGTGGAACTGGTCAGGCGCCCCTCTGACAGGGGCAGGCTAAGAAGGCTGAAGGTACCAGGCCGGCAACGGGAGCCATGGAGAGCTAGGGAGGAGGAGCCATGTCAGAGCCGAGCTTGCTCCCAAGGTTACTTGCGGCACAGAGTGCAAGTGGCCCTGTGGTGCTTGGTGCTCCAGGGACTGCAGCCAGGCCTGGGGGAGGGGGAAGTACGCACTGGCAAGAGTCTGGAAGGGCTCAGGCTGCCTGAAGACCAGCCTCTGCCAGCCAATCCCACTCACCCAGGAGAGGGCAAGGGACCCGGAAGATCCAGCCACAGGAAGGGGCAACTGTGAGTCCTGTCTATCGGCCCAGGTACCAGCCCCGGCCACACGCTCTCTGCGTGCAGAACCAGCCCAGCCTCGATGTCCCCACCATTAGAGCATCCGCAGCCAGTGACGGTCAGCACCAGCACGGGCCTGTGTCAGCCGCTGGACAGGGACCTCGCGGCCCTCATTCATCTTCAGGCCATGGGGGCGGAGGGGGGAGGAAGGGAGGGCCTCCTCCCTCTAGGGAAGCCGCAGCTCCATGACAGTGTCACCTGCACAGGGACCAGCCCAGGACTGAGGTGAACTGGGGCAAGTCAGGCCCTCAATCCAGGCATCTGCGCCTCCCTGGGTCCAGTGGGCTCCAGGGGGACACAGGCACGGGGAGGGAAGCACAGGACAAGGAAATGGGAGGAGCTTCCCAAAGGCCACCTGGAGAGGGCTCATGGCTGTGACAGAGCCTGGGAGGGCTTCAGTGGTTGACTTTGGGGTCATGCACCATCCTGCAAAGGCTGTTCCTCCTTCCTGGGCCTCCATCCAGGGCCCTCATGGGCTTCCAAAGGCAGCAGATGCCTCTGGACAGGAGAAAAGCTGGCCATGGACCAAGAGGCCTGACCAGCCCTGCCTCTGTCACGCAGCTGCTAGCCTGCCTGCATAGGACTTTACTTTAAAGAACAGCCAGACGTAGTGGAACAAGCTTAAAACCTCAGCCGCTCAGGAGGTGATGACAGGAAGATTTTGGTCAGAAGCCACCCTGGCAAAAGCTCAAGACCCCATGTGAGAAGCAAACCAAAAGCAGAAAGACAAGCACATGGCTCGAGTGGTGGAGCCCTTGTCTGGCAAGCACAGGCCTTGAGTTCAAGCCTTCATTTAGCAGTCAATCCATAAAGGAACAAGAGCCCCTTGCAAATGAACACTTCTCGAGCCCTTGGCACTAGACACTCAGCTGAAGACACTTTAGCCATCTCTAAGGGCGTGAGTGCATGTGTGCATGTATGTGTGTGTGTGTGTGTGTGTGTGTCCCCTAAGCCACAAGTGCCTTCATTCACAAGCTGTGCCTTCATTCACAAGCTGTGACTTCACAGGAAGGAAACAGGTGCAGGGTCCCCCAGGTGCCACCCTGCCAGAGCTGGGAGCCCAGGCAGAGCCCTCACGGAGTCCCCCCATCACTGACTCCCGTGGCCCTCCCACTGGTGAGGATAGCAGCCCCATCCCGCTCACCCCCCCCCCGGGGGATGTGTCTGGATGCCGTGGGGAGAGGGCTGTAATGGCCCAGAGCCCTGGGGCTGGGGGCCCACTGCCCAGAATGGCTCCCCAGGGCGTGGGGTGTGGTGGGGACTTGGTGGGACAACGGCTGGGACATGACACTGTTGTGGGTCATTAGGAAAGTCCCTCTCAACCAACGCCCACCGAGTGCCCAGGACACTCCTGCAGAATGTGCCAGGCCTAAGAGAGTAAACCAACCTCCTCCACACGCCCAAGGCCAGCACCGCCGGGCAGGCCGCACAGCACGAAGCGCCAGGCCTGCCCTGCCCTGCCCTGGTACCCCACAGCCACCCAGAGACATGGCCGCCAGGCTCACTGCCCCTGAACATCTAGGCAGCAAGGCGGGACACACTGTGTGTCCCCACAGCAACTCTGGAGACGAACGAACTCCACCACCCGGCGTCCACCGACCCCCGCCCGGCGTCCGGGCTTCACTGGAGCCAGGACACTCACCGGTGTCACCCCAAGCTCCCGGCCCCGCAGCCGGCTTAGCGCCAGGCCGTCGGGCAGGGCCGCCCGCTCCTCCCGACCCCCGCC